TGAGACAGAATCTTGTTATGTCGCCCTCGGTAGAGTGCTATGGCATCACAGCTCACAGCAACCTCCAACTCTTGGGCTTAAGTGATTCTCTTGCCTGGGACTACAGGTGTCCTCCACAACACCCAGCTATTCTTATATTGTTGCAGTCGTCATTGTTTTTTAGCTGGCCCAGGCCAGGATCGAACCACCAGCCTCAGTGTATGTGGCCAGTGCCCTACCCACTGAGCTACGGGCACCTCCCTATCCATGTACTTAAAGATTTTTTATTGTTGTTGTTTTGGATATTTTTGCAGTTTTTGGCCAGGGCTGGGTTTGAACCCACCACCTCCAACATATGGGGCTGGGGCCCTACTCCTTTGAGCCACAGGCACCGCCCTTAAGTTCCCCCCACCTTGCTCCTTTCTCTATGTTTCATTTCAGATATTTATTATTCCTATGTCAAGTCTATTAATCTTTTATGCTGCATTGTCTAGTCTGGTGTTAAGCCCATTCAATGTATTTTCCCTTTCAGACTTCTTTTTAAATCTCTAGTTCTGTTAGGTCCTTTTTATCCTTTTTTATCTTTTTTTACCTCCATGTTCCCATATACATGAATATAGTTATAGAATTATAGGAGGTTGTTTGGGGGGGGGGTTGTTTTGCTTTGTTTTGGTTTTTTGGAGATGGTCTCGCTCTGTGACCTGGGCCTGGGGGCAGTAGCATCATCATAGCTCACTGCTTCCTCAAATTCCAAGTTCAAATGATCCTTCTGCCATAGCCTCCTGAGTAGTTGGGATGACAAGTGCATGCCGCCACACCTGGCTGGTTTTCTGTTTTGGCCAGGGCTAGGTTTGAACCCACCACCTCCAACATATGGGGCCGGTGCCCTACTCCTTTGAGCCACAGGCACTGCCCTAAAGTTCCCCCACCCCCCACCCCGCTGAGACAGGGTCTCACTACAGTGTTCCAGTTGCACTTGAACTCCTGACCTCAAGCTGTCCTCCTGCCTCAGCCTCCCAATGTGCCAGGATTATAAGTGTGACCCACCATATAGCCTAAAAGCTTTTTAATATCCTATCTACTGGCTTGGGGCCTATGGCTCAAGCAGCTAAAGCACCAGCCACATATACCTGAGCTGACGGGTTCGAATCCAGCCTGGGCCTGCCAAACAACAATGATAGCTGCAACCAAATAGCTGGGCATTGTGGCAGGTGCCTATAATCCCAGCTACTTGGGAGGCAGAGGCAGGAGAATCACTTGAGCCCAGCAGTTGGAGGTTGCTGTGAGCTGTGATGCCATGGCATTCTACCGAGGGTGACAGCTTGAGGCTCTGTCTCAGAAAAAAAAAAAAAAAAAAAGAACATAATCTTATTTAAGTTATCAGTATCATAAAATTTTCTACTTTAATACTCTACCCCTTAAATTACCATTCAATCAAGGCATGGTGGAAAAGATGCATGCTTTTTTGGTAGAAGGAAATAGCTGTCCAAGCCATAAACTTGTATTTAATTTCTTACTCTTCACCTAATAGAGATTTAATATTGAGAAAGTTGCTTTCTTATTTTTTCCAGTTAAATTGCCATATAATTAAAGCATCTTAACACATAACAGCTTGCTTGCACATGCCAGCACTATTCTAAATGTTAAATGTGTGTTATCAATTCTAACTCATTGATGGATGTGAAATTCAATAAGTTAATGTTCTTACCCATTTTACAGATGAGGAAACAAAGGTTGAGAAGCATAGCTAGATTTGTAGGCATTATCTAGAAAGTTGGGGAAAGGGTGCTAGTGGTAGAAAGAACGGCATGTACAGGCTCGGCGCCTGTGGCTCAAGTGGCTAAGGCGCCAGCCACATACACCTGAGGTGGCAGGTTTGAATCCAGCCTGGGTCCGCCAAACAACAATGATGGCTGCAACCAAAAAATAGCCAGGCGTTGTGGTGGACACCTGTGGTCCCAGCTACTTGGGAGGCTGAGGCAGGAGACTCGCTTGAGCCTAGAAGTTGGAGGTTGCTGTGAGCTGTGGTGCCACAGAACTCTACCCAGGGGGATATCTTGAGGCTCTGTCTCAAAAAAAAAAAAGGGCATGTGCAAAGGCACAGAGTTATGAGAGCTTATGGTAGGTATTAGTCCCCCTTAACTATAGGGAATGCCTTTCAAGACCCTTAGGGGATGCTTGAAATCACAGGTAGTACTAAATTCCATGCTGTACTGTGTTTTTCCTACACATACACACCTATGATAAAGTTTATTTTATAAATTAGGCACAAGAAGAGACTAAAGCAATAACTAATGATGAAAGAGAACAGTTGTAACAATATAACAACAAGACTAGTCTTGGACTTTTAGGGCCATTATTAAGTAAAATAAGGATTACTTAAACACAAACTGCAGTGCTGCAACAGTCGATCTGGTAACCAAGGTGACTGGTGGCAGGTAGCATAGATAGTATGGATCACTGGACAAAGGGGTGATTCACGAACTAGGCAGGATGGAGCGGGATGGCACAAGATTTCATCATAGTTATTCAGAGTGGTGCACAATTTAAAACTTATGAATTGTTTATTTCTGGAATTTTCCATTTAATGTTTTAGGGCTATAGTTGACTGTAGGTAACTAAAACCACAAGAAAGCAAAACTGTGGATAAGGGGAAGACTACTGTACTCAACAAAATCTAATATTTTAGTACAATATAGCCAAGGATAAGAAATGAAGCTGGATGGATGGAGCTGTAAAATACTCTTCTTAGTAAAGTATCTCAGGAATGGAAAAAAAAATATCCAATGTACTCAGTACTACTATAAAACCAATTTATAATCACTCACACTTTCATATGAAAGATGAATCACAACTATTGCCTAGGATGAAGGAGGGAGGGGGAGAGGAAGGGAGGGGGTGGATCCATAGAGGGAGAGTTAGTAGGGGGACCACACCTATGGAGCATATTGCAGGTACAAGTTGGATCTATTGGGTGTAGAACACAAATGTCTTAACACTGTAATTGGGTAAATGAGGTAAAGGCTATGTTAATTAGTAGGATGTAAGCACTCCAATTTGTATAAATAATCAACACATTGAATCCCATAATAGCATAAATGTATTCATGATCTGTGTACAAATGACTTAAAAAAAATAAATAAAATAAAAAAAATAAAAAGAAATGAAGCTAGAAAAGTAGGCCCGAGGCCAGATTAGGAAGGGCTTCATACTTTTTATTTTGTAGGTCATAAAGCGCCAAGTCAGATTTGTGTTTTAGAAAATGTTCCTCTGGGGTGGCGCCTGTGACTCAAAAGAGTAGGGCTCTGGCCCCATATGCCAGAGGTGGCAGGTTCAACCCAGCCCTGGCCAAAAACTGAAAAAAAAAAAAAAAAAGAAAGAAAATGTTCCTCTGGCAATGGAATAGAGGGTGAGTTAAATAAAGTAAGGGGACATTAGAGGAAAATGTGGAACCATTTCTAAATTCTTGATTCTTGCTTTTCAACTTCTTGGTTTTAGGGTGTGGATCTGTCTTGAATGCAAATGGTGAAGTTGAAATGGATGCCAGTATCATGAATGGAAAAGACCTATCTGCAGGAGCAGTGTCCGCAGTCCGGTGTATCGCAAATCCCATTAAACTTGCTCGGCTTGTCATGGAAAAGGTATACGTGACTTAAGCATCTTTTTCCTAAAGAGTTGTTACTGGTATACTTAAGTGGTTAAAAAAAAAAAGAAAAAAGGAGATCTGACTGTGAAGAAACTTGAGATCACTCTTCTCCTGAAAACATGTACAAGAACAGAAGCAATGTTAGATGAGTTTTGCTCTCAAATTTGCTGAAATTCTGACTCCTGCTAACAATGCAACCTGACCAGTCACTTGACCAGTGATTACCTTGTTGTCTTCCTGTATTTTCTTCATCTTTCTTTCAACATTTGTTTGGTTTTTTTTTTTTGACAGAGCCTCAAGCTGTCCCCCTGGGTAGAGTACCGTGGCATCACAGCTCACAGCAACCTCCAACTCCTGGGCTCAAGCGAGTCTCCTGCCTCCGCCTCCCAAGTAGCTGGGACCACAGGCGCCCGCCACAACGCCCGGCTATTTTTTGGTTGCAGCCATCATTGTTGTTTGGCGGGCCCAGGCTGGATTCAAACCCACCACCTTAGGTGTATGTGGCTGGCACCTTAGCTACTTGAGCCACCGGCGCCAAGCCTCTTTCAACACTTGTAACACATCACATTATAAACTGAACAAACCAACTATTGAATAGTATGTGTTAAATGAAAATGAATTAAGTTGGGGTGGCACCCGTGGCTCAAAGGAGTAGGGTGCCAGACCATATGCCAGGGGTGGTAGGTTCAAACCCAGCCCCAGCCAAAAACTGCAAAAGAAAAAGAAAATGAATTAAGTTTTCTAAAATTAACATAATATGAAAGTCACATCCCTAGTAACTTGTAGTTTATTTATAGATTGTACTCTGCCAGTTTGGGATTTTTTTTTTTTTTTTTTGGAAAATGCAGAAACTCGGAAAGCCAGACTCTTTTAGGCATTCAGAAAACCAAGCCAGTGAAACTTGCATTTTTGAACCTTTGCACCCAGAGAGAAGTAATTATTTCCATGTAGCTGGAACAGTTAAAAAAGATTAAACAGTTTCAAAAAGGCTCACCATTTCTCCTTTTCTTTCCTACTTAGACACCTCATTGCTTCCTGACTGACCAAGGTGCAGCAAAATTTGCAGCAACTATGGGGATCCCAGAGATTCCTGGAGAACAGCTGGTAACAGAGAAAAGTAAAAAACACCTGGAAAAAGACAAGAATGAGAAAGGTGCTCAGAAAGCAGAATGTCAAAAGTAAGTCTCTTCGATGGCACACATTTTTGAGAGTTATTAAAATAAGAAACTTTACCAAGTATCTGATTATCTACATTTCCTAAACAATTCAAACCAAATATCGGAAAACCTACCATTCTGAGTTTTAAATTTAACCTCATTTTTTTACCACTCTGAATAGTAACTCAAACTGGGCTAACAGGCTCAGCATCTGTAGAACAGTGGTCATGACAGAGCCAGCCACATATACCCAAGACTGGCAGGTTCAAGCCCAGCCTGAGCCAGCTAAACAGCAATGACAACTTGGCGGGCACCTGTTGTCCTAGCTACTTAGGAGACTGAAGCAAGAGAATCGCTTGAGCCCAGGAGTTTGAGTTTGCTGTGAACTGTGACACCATAGCACTCTACCCAGGGTGACAAAAAAAAAAAAAAGAAAGAAAGAAAAACCCTGGGCTAACAGAATTCCTTCTCTGACATAATTCTGAAGAAGAATGTATTACATTAATATGTGTCAGTTATCTGAATTCTTGGTCAGTTTGTTATCTTAAACAGATGAAACAAGTGCTCTGTCATCTAGTGTATTTTATGAATTTGCTTAAGCATGCTTTCATAGTGCAGAGAAATCAATATAACTCTTAAAAGTTCGAATTAATTATATATTCTGAATTATAATTTTCTGTGTCATAAATTCCAGAATCCCAAATAAAAGCCCCTGACTAAAAGCAAAATTTGAATGTGTAATGGAATTCAGTCTACTAACTCTGCATACTTTTCAGAGTAGTAATATTTAACCAGGAGTATACCTTTGAATCACCTACGGAGCATTTTTAGAATATGCATGTCTGGGCCCCTTACCTAAAGAATCAGATTTAAGAGCAGGGCCTGTGGTTCAAAAGGAGTAGGGCACCGGTCCCATATGCCAGAGGTGGCGGGTTCAAACCCAGCCCTGGCCAAAAACTGCAAAAAAAAAGAATCAGATTTAAATAGATCTGGATACAGAGACCAGACTGGTAGAGTATGAAAAGTTTCTGAGGTGATTCTGCTGTGTCCAGCAGGTTATGAATCATCATAAATGATTGTCCAGGTGTTGGCAGCTGTTGATATCCTTATCAAGTATGCTGCTATGTCTGTGGGCTAGAGACAAAGCAAGGGGATTGCTTTATCAGTGTTACATGTTAATTTTAAAAGCTGTTAGGCCAGGCACAGTGGCTCATTCCTATAATCCTAGCACTCTGGGAAGCCAAGGTGGGTGGATTGCTTGAACTCAGGAGTTGGAGACCAGCCTGAGCAAGAGGCAGACCCTGTCTTTACTAAAAATAGAAAAACTAGCCAGTTATTGTGGATGGGTACCTGTAGTCCCAGCTACTGGAGAGGCTAAGACAAGAGGATTGCTCAACCCAAAGAGTTTGCAGTTGTTCTGAGCTATGTCACGGCACTCAACCCAGTATGACACAGTGAGACTCTGTCTCAAAAAAAAAGTTGCCACATTGCTTTCCTAAAATTCTGTAACACCACCTCTCCACCAGTCAGTGCTGCTCTTACATATAAATAAGAGGGGCTCCTTCCCTGGGCCCTGCATTTTAAAGGGCCCTCATATCACAGATACACAAAACGATTTATTATGGACACATGGGTACCTTTCTCACTCAGCATTGGTACAGCTTGATCCGTAACCCTAACCATCACTCTTAGGACTAACACCATTCAGCTGTCAGGGAAAGGCTTCTCCGCATCTCTTGCTCTGTGTCTTGGAAGCAAAGGCCACCTGAATTCAAAGGTTCAAAGGCCACCTGAATTCAAAGGTTATGGGTTGTGCCAACTGTCAACATCAGAAATGGACACTGCTTTAGAGTGTCGGGAAGAGCCAAACAGCAGAAGGACTTAGGTAAGAGAAAAATATAAATTACTTAAAACCTAATTAACTGGTCAAATCAGTTCTTGAATCACGAAGCCTTACTTCACTGTCATGTAATGCTTCTGTATCAACTAGGAGAAGGTAAAGGTGAACTCTTCCAAGGCCACAGGGTCCTCAGGCAGGTGGCTGTACGTGAACAGATACAGGAATGACAGACAATAGGCTGTAAGGTTGCTCAGTCCCAGAACAAAGCAAGGAAGAAATCAAAGTAGTTTTAGCCCCAGACCTCCGTCTAAGTGGGTAGCCCAGCATGTATGGACACCTGGGAGTGCCAGGTGTCTCTTTTCTTGCCTCTGTACATGTTCCAATGTGTGGTTCTGGAAGTATTAATGAATTAGAACACTATCTGCAAGAGTTGCACATGGGGACTATTACTGTTACATTTGTGTATTTCTTACGGTTTTAAAAGAAAAAAAGGGAAAAATTTTTGTATATTTCTGTCCAATAGAAATACAGCGAAAGCCACATTATGTGATTTTAAATGTTCAGGTGGGCACATTAAAAAATAAAAAGAAATACATGAAATTAGTAATATATTTTATTTAACCCAATACATACGAAATTTCATTTCAACATGTAATTAATGCAGCTGCTATAGTGGATGGCCCAGATCTAGACAGAACTTCCATGAGGAACTAAGTTGTCTATGGACATTGAATATTAGAATTATGAGTGGTTCTATTTGGATTAAAAATTTTTAAATTTTAGTTAATTTCAAAAATGTTCTGGGGCGGCGCCTGTGGTTCAAAGGGGTAAGGCACTGGCCCCATATGCAGCCCTGGCCAAAAACTGAAAAAAAAAAAGTTAAAATTTTTAGCTTTTGTGTAATTTTGATTTAGATTGTTATATTCACTATAATTCATGTTTTAACTTTAACATTATAAAAATTTTGCTTTTTTTTTTTTTTTGAAACAGAGTCTCAAGCTGTTGCCCTGGGTAGAATGCCATGGCATCACAGCTCAGAGCAACCTCAAACTCTTGGGCTTAAGAGATTCTCATGCCTCAGCCTCCCAAGTAGCTGGTGTTGTTGTTGTTGCAGTTGTCATTGTTGTTTAGCTGGCCCAGGCTGGGTTCGAACCTGCCAGCCTCAGTGTATGTGCCCAATGCCCTACCCACTAAGCTATGGGCACCACCAATTTTGCATATTTTATAAAACAGGCTAACTTTTTTGGAAATCATATCTGCAAATTACTTTCATTTTTTCAGTTTTTTGATGAAAACATTCTAATTTTGTATATTTTGATTATAATAACATTTTACTTTTAATTCCTTACATTGTTGAAAATGAGTATAAATCAAGATTTTGATAGAAAAAGAATATTAAAATGCAGTTGGGCACAGTGGCCAACACCTATAATCCTAGCACCTTGGGAGGCTGAAGAGGGATGATCCCGAGTTCAGGAGTTCAAGACCAGCCTGAGCAAGAAAATAAAAAGAGAAAAAATTAGCCTGGTATTGTGGCAGGTGCCTGTGCTCCCAGCTACTTGGGATGCTGAGACAGGAGGATTGGTTGAGCCCAGGAATTTGAGATTGCTCTGAGCCAGGCTTAGGCCATGGCACTCGAGCCTGAGGCAACAGAGTGAGACTCTATCTCAAAAAAACACATATTAAAGTGAAGCTCACAAAAGAAAAAAACTAAAAGGAAAAAAGAAGTAAAAATCTTCAAAGAAGTTATCTGCTTGCATTTTTAAAAACTGGTAACGGCTCGGCGCCTATAGCTCAACCGGCTAAGGCGCCAGCCACGTACACCTAAGGTGGCGGGTTCGAATCCCCAGCCCGGACCTGCCAAACAACAATGATGGCTGCAACCAAAAAATAGCCGGGCGTTGTGGTGGGCGCCTGTGGTCCCAGCTACTTGGGAGGCGGAGACAGGAGACTCGCTTGAGCCCAGGAGTTGGAGGTTGCTGTGAGCTTTAATGCCATGGCACTCTGCCCAGGGGGACAGCTTGAGGCTCTGTCTCAAAAAAAAAAAAAAAAAAAAAAAAACTGGTAACAATAAAAGCAAGCACTTTTCTTTCAGGATGACCCACATAAAAGTCACAAATAGGACATTACAAATTCTTTGTTAAATGAAGATCTAATTACCTATCAAAACAATGAAAATAAGTAAGAAAATTTTCTTACTAAGATCAGATGAAATCCCTGCAACTTCATATTCTTTACTAAAAGAAGATTTAATGGCTAAGTATAAAGAATTATAAAAAGGCACACATGCACTTATAGGAATTGATAGGGAGACTGAATAAATAGACAATTGACATCGGAAAAAGATGACAATATAAAGCATTGCAATGTTCTTGAAAAAATAATATATGTCTAATACTTAGTTAAGCCCAATGATTATTTTCATGATATCTTCAGTACGTGTTTATAAAAATAATGGAAATTTTCAGCTTGGTGCCTGTAGCTCAGTGGCAAGGGCGCCAGCCACATACACTAGAGCTGGTGGGTTCAAATCCAGCCCAGGCCTGTCAAACAACAATAACAACTGGCCTGGCATCTGTAGCACAGTGGTTATGGCACCAGTCACATACACCAAGCCTGGCAGGTTCCTTTGTGGGTTTGAACCCAGCCTGGGCTAGCTGAACAACAATGACAACTGCAACAAAAAAATGGCTGGGCATTTTAGTGGTCGCCTGTGGTCCCAGCTACTTGGGCGGCAGAGGCAAGAGAATTGCTTAAGCCCAGGAATTTGAGGTTGCTGTGAGCTGTGTTGCCACGGCACTCTACCAAGGGCAACATAGTGAGACTCTGTCTCAAAAAAAAAACAATGACAATTACAAACAAAAAAAGGAAAAATAGCCAGGCGTTGTGGCAGGCGCCTGTACTCCTAGTTACTTGGGAGGCTAAGGCAAGAGGATTGCTTAAGCCCAAGAGTTGGAGGTTGCTGTGAGCTGTGATTACACAGAACTCTACAGAGGGTGACATAGTGAGACTCTGTCTCAAAAATAAAAATGGAAATTTTCTAGGTTCAGTGAAAAGGATTTCAAAATTTGATAAAATGCCAAGCATGTGTGAATAATGAGGACAAAAATAATGAAACTAATGATCACTATCTAGGATGGAGAATTGAAACAGATTATTAGTTTAATTGGGAGTAAATTAA